ACTGCAATTGCCCGAAAAGAAAGTCCAGCTTCCCGAAGTCCCACTATACTGCCCCTATCAAACTCACTAAGTTGACGAAATCGTACAGGTCTCCGTACTCTAGGCATCGTAACCGATCGTAAAGGATGTCAAGAACCAAAATCCGCCAACGTTGATTCTTTACTGCGGCTGAAATATTCATTTTTAGAGCGTTAGTGAATTAAAAAAAAGCAGTATAAAAACCGGAATGTCCAACTGATAAGGCTGAACATTTTTTCACTTGTTATTTACAGTAAGATAAATACATTCACCAACTTTTATTAAAATAAAACCGTTTAAACTGGGTGTTCGGATTTATGTCACTTAGTATATAACACAATTTAGCACGCCAGTTTAAAATTAAATTTTTTATGACCACATATTGCTCATTTGACCAATCGTCGGTGAATTTTACATGGTTGGCAGCCTGTGAAAAGAACTGAACCCCATTCAGCGCAGTATGAACGTAGTATTTTTTAGAGATTTTATGTCGCGCCATCTATGAGCGAATCGCCAAAGCAAGGACGTGCCCATAGATCACTGTTTTTTCTTTGTGAACCAGTAATAGTCCAAGAGCTAGCCGCAAAATTTTGGTTACATCGCGTACTGATATGTTATGCTAAAAACTAGTCAAAACTTAGGAATTTTGATGCTGAACAACACACTCGATTCTATAAGGTCTATTCTCTGGATATAACTTCCATTTGATAGTTTAGGTTCTGATGGTATATAACATATTCCTCTACCCATACATAAAATACTGGTTTCTAAACAGTAATCCAAGCGACTGTAAGATCGATAGAACGTGATCATGTAATCCATGTCAAACTGTAAAGGCTTTATTAGTATAAGTGCATCATACGAGTAATATAAGGACTGGGCGGTACATCACAGCTTTGGAGTGAAACTGCAAGGCAAAACTCATGGTACATCTTCCAGAGACAAAATATTAATATCCTTCTTTTAAGGAGCTCTTTAAAACATAGCGCAAGGCTCACTACTGACAATTTTGCCATGCATATAGACGATGGCAAAAAGGCTGAGATCATGCCTATGATGCAAAGCAAGGTTAAGGATTGTACCAATGTGGTCGTACCATGGAAAATAAAGGCAGCTGACCTTATGGAATACCACAAACGCTTAGTTTGGCGGAATTCTGTAACGGTTGCAGAGGTGGGATATGAATATGCTTTATTTTTGGATAATCTCACACTTCGGTCACGGTACGTAATTTTTTTTCTGGGACAGTGCTTAAATACGTCGCCCTGTCTAAAACAACTCTTACCATCAACCTCAATAGCAGTAACATTGTGAATGTGTTCTGATTCTCTAAAGTGTAAGACAGTGTTTTTCATTGTGTTTATACTATAATCGTCCTCACCTAAGCGCGTTTTATGATCACCCCATTTATGAAAACTCCCCCTACTATCAGCCATTCGTGTCGACATGGGTGGTAATGTGGAGATAGACGTGCGTGCTTATTGAAGCTACACTTACTTTTGCATAATTTAGCCTTTACCTTGAACTCACGCACCATATGGCATACGTTTAAAGCACGTAACGGGGGACCTTGAGACACAATCACGTCTCAGCAAAAACTCAGCAGCGGAACACGTCAAATTTGGCAGAGATTTAGTTCGTTGGAGGTGCGGATACCTAGTACCTACGACATTTATGAGTCGATCGGCAAGACCATGTTTCTGCACCCTTCTGTTTCTTTCAACGTCTAGAACTGGCTACTAAGTGTACTAAGAGCCTAAGAAATACCTAATAATATCATTGATGAGAAAGCGTGAATGTTTGTTACTCAGAGACAGATTAATAGACCTTCCTTGAGGCGTGAGGCTTCCTTAGAAACAATGGATATCATGGGTTGTCCAATAGGGACGCAGGAAAGTAAACGTCAATTTGACATAGACGCCATCTCTGTTTTCTGTCACCGACATGTCATTTTGTTAGTTGAATGTTTACCATTGATCGCTATGGACTCGTATTCGATTGAAGACCGCATTAAAGTTATTCAAGAGCACTACAAAAATGGTGCAAAAATAAAAAACACGTTTCGCGCGCTTCGTGAACATTTCGGTCGCAACAACCGCCCAAACGAAACAAATATCGGTCGTCTGGTGCGTAAATTCGACGCGACAGGTTCTGTGGCAAATCTGCCAGGCTCTGGCCGGCCAAAGAGCGTTCGCACACCGGAAAATATTGCTGTTGTGAAGGAGAGTATGAGAGACGATCCGAAACAATCAACAACGCGTGGATCCCAAGAATTGGGCATTTCGAGAACCAGTTTGCTCCGCATTCTCCACAAGGATTTGAATGTACACGCCTACAAGATCCAATTGACGCAAGAGCTGCGTCGGGCCGAACATTTTTCGCGCCGAACGTTCTCAGATTGGCTCTTTGAACACCGCCAAATTGATGCCAATTTTTCATCAAAAATCATGTTCAGCGACGAAGCGCATTTCACTTTGAATGGGACGGTAAACGAGCAAAACTGCAGCATCTAGGCGAACGAAAATCCCCTTGAGTATCAAGAGCAGCCGATGCATCCTCAAAAAGTGACTGTGTGGTGTGCATTGTGGTCAAAAGGTATCATCGGACCTTACTTATTCGAAAATGCGGCCGGGGACGCCGTTACCGTCAATTCTGAGCGATATCATGTGATGATAGAGGACTGTTTTTTGCCGCAACTTGAAGGAATGGATATGGACGATGTTTATTCCTAAAGACG